CTGAAACTTGCTCTCCAGCATAGAGATGCTAAAGCAAATGGAAGAATTGAAGAGGTCCGAGAGCTGAACAGAAAATTTCAAAGATCAGGTCGAGAATATAAAATCAAATGCTATAATAAAATATGCAAAGATTTGGAATTAGAAAACCAAACAGGAAGAACACGGTCAGCATTTCTCAAGTTGGAGGAACTGAAGAAAAAATTCAAGCCTCGACTTTCGTTATTGAAAGATTCTCTGGGCAAATTATTGAATGGTGCAGAATGCATCAAGAAAAGATGGAAGGAATACACAAAGTCCAGCTTTTCATAGTATTCTGTTATTATCCTTTTGATTTCCTTTGGTTCCGTTGTGACATCGCCCATGTGGTTTCTAATGCGTGTTATTTGTGTCTTCTCCCTCTTTTCTTTTGTTAGTTTTGCCAATAGTTTGTCATTTTGTTAATCCTTTCAAAGAACCAGCTTCTTGTCCTGTTGATTCTTTCTGTAGTTTTTCTGTTTTCTATTTCATTTATTTCTGCTGTAGTCTTTATTCTTTCTTTTCTTTTGGTGTCTGTAGGTTCCCTCTGTTGGTTTGTTTCTAATTGTTGTAGATGCTGTGTTAATGTGTGAATTTTGGTCCTTCTTTTTGAATGTGCACATTTATTGCAATAAATGTGTCCCAAAGATTTTGGTATGTTGTGTTTTTGTTCTCATTTGTTTCTAGAAACTTTGTGAATTGACATTTAATTTCTTCTATTACCCAATCACTTTCAGCAGAGTGTTATTTAGTTTCCATGTATTTGACTTAATTGCCTTGGTTTGCTTAATGTTGATTTCTAGTTTTATAGCATTGTGGTATGAAACAATGCTTTGTAGTATTTTGATTTTTGTAAATTTATGGAGGCTTGCTTTTTGACTTAACACATGGTCAATTCTGGAGAATGTTCAATGTGCACTGGAGAAGAAAGTACATTGTACTGTTGTTGGGTTGAATGCTCAGTACACAACTGCGAGGTCAAGTTGGTTGATTGCACTGTTTATTTCTTCTGTAACTTTGTTGAGTTTCTTTCTGGTAGTTCTGTCCCTTTTCGAGAGTGATGTATAAAAATATGCCACTATAATTGTAGATTTATCTGTTTCTTTATTCAGTTCTAGGAGGTTGGCTTCATGTATCTTGGTGCTTTTTCATTGGGAGCGTAGATATTTATTTTGGCTATGTTCTCATTGTAATCACTTGTTGTTGTTGTTGTTTTGTGCTGTGGAGTCGGTTCCTACCCATAGTGATCCTGTACAGGGTTTCTGAGGGTGGAAATCTTTACAGGAGCAGAAAGCCTCATCTTTCTCCTGTGGAACAGCTGGTAGTTTTGAACTGCTGACCCTGCGGTTCGCAGCCCGTTTTGTAACCACTACGCTACCAGAGCTCCTTCATTGTAATCACTAGTAATTATCAATGTATCTTAATTGCTTGCTTGATCAGTGTCATACTGCAAAAATTGGTGAAAATCTTGTTTCTTCATCATTGTTGTTTGTGCTTGGTGTGTAAATTTGAATAATAGTTTTATTAGCTGGTCTTTCATGTAGGTGTATGGATATCATCCTATTATTTACAGTATTGTACTTCAGGGTGGATCTAGAAATCTTGATGATGAATGTGAGACCAATCCTCATCAATGTGCTATTTATTGCATAGTAGTCTGTATGATTATCTGATTTAAAATGGCCAGTAGTAGTCCATTTCTGTTCACTAATTTGAACAGAAGCATTACATTTCATTTTTTAACAGCTTCCAATTTCCCATAATCCATACTTTGTATAGTCCATATTCTGATTACTAATGAATGTTTGTAACCTTTTCTTTTCATTTTGAAGGATTCCACATCAGCAAATGAAGGTTCTGAAACCTTAACTCCATCCATATTATTAAGGTTGACTCTATTTTATGGAGGTAGATTTTCTCTAGTAGTATTTTGAGTGCCTGTTAAGTTAAGGGGCTTTTCTTTTGTTCTCCTGCTAACCATAGGATTTCACTGGTGAACATTTCTGAAAGTAGATCTCCAGGTTCTTCCTCTTAGTCTGTCTTAATCTGGAAGCACCGCTGACATCTGTGACACTGCTGGTCTTTGAAGTGCAATGGCATAACTTCTTGCATCACAGCCACATATTTGCCAGCACAAGCAGTCTGACAGATAACTTCATATATGGAGATACCTTTTTTCAACAACATAAACAATGACTGTACCTATGGACCCCACAGGATGGAATACACAGAAATGAAATATATTACATCTGTGGAAAGAGTAGTTGGAGAAGCTTAATATTATCAGTCAAGTATGCCAGGGGACAACTGCAGAATAGACTATCAATTGCTCATATACAAGTTCAAGACGAATCTGAAGAAAATTAAAAGTGTACAAGAGCCAATTCCTGACCTTGAGTGTATCCCACCTGCATGTCGAGATCATTACAAGAATAGATTTAACGCACTGAACACTAATGACTGAAGACCAGATGTGTTGTGGAGGACATCAAGGACATCATATATGAAGAAAATCAAAAGTTGATTTAAAAATACAGGAAAGAAAGAAAAGACAAAAATGAATGTCAGAACAGACTCTGGAAACCGCTCATGAATGTAGAGTAGCTAAAATGAATAGAATAAAGGATGAAGTAAAGAGCAGAATAGAAGATTTCAAAAATCAGCCTGAGAAAACAAAGTAGGATATAATGAAATGTGTAAAAACCTGGAGTTACAAAACCAAAAGGAAAGAACATTCTCAACATTTCTCAAACTGAAAGAACTGAAGAACATATTCAAGCATTGAATTGCAAAATTGGAGTAAAATACTGGAACAACACAGGAGGCATCAAAAGAAGATAGAAGGAATACACAGAGTCTCCGTACCAAAAATAAATGATGTTCATCCATTTGAGGAGCATATGATCAAGAACTGAGGGTATTGAAGGAAGAAGCTGCACTAAAGGCGTTGACGACAAACATATATCCATGAGCTGACAGAATACAAATTGAGATTATTCCAACAAATAGATGTAATATTGGGAAGCATGCACTCAGTATGCCATGAAATTTGGGAGATTGCTATCTGGCCTACTGACTGGAAGTGAATCCATATTTGTACATGACCCAAAGAAAGGTGTTCCAAAGAAATGCAGATATTATCAAGCAGTATAATTAATATCATACCCAAGTCAAGTTTTGCTGAATATAATTCAAAATGGTTGTAGCATTGACAGGGAAAGACAAGAATTTCAAGCTGGATTCAGAAACAGACATAAAATGATGGCTATCACTGCTGAGGTCAGATGAATCATGACTGAAAGTAGAGATTACCAGAGGGATGTTCACCTGTATTTTGTTGAATATGCAAAGTCATTTGACTCTGTAGATATAACAAATTGTATGGACAACATTGTGAAGAATGGGAATTTCAAAACAGTTAATTGTGCTTGTGTAGAACCTCTACATAGACCAAGTGGTAGTTGTTTAAACAGAACGAGAGTATACTGCATGGTTTAAAATGTGTCTGTTTTATCCTTTCACTATACTTATTCAATTTGTACGCTGAACAAATGGTCTAAGAAGCTGGATTATGTAAAGGAGAACACAGCATCAAGAAGGGAGGAAGTCTCATTAACAAATTGCAATATGCAGATGCCACAACCCTGCTTGCTGAAAGTGAATAGTATTTGAAGTACTTACTGATGGACATAATACATCCTTCATTATGGGTTACAATTCATCGTAAAGAAAATGCAAAATCCTCATAACTGGATTAGTAAACAACAGTAAACATAAATGAAGAAAAGAATGGTGTTGTCAAGGATTTCATTTTACTTGGATCCATAATCAGTGCTTTTATAAGAAATCAAATAATATATTGCATTGCACAACTCTGCTGTAAATGATTTCTGTAGATAGCTCAAGGGCAAAGATGTCACTTTAAGGATATGGTGTGCCTGACCCAAGTCATAGTATTTAAAATCGCCTCGCTTGTGGGAAAGCTGGTCAGTGAATAAGGAAGAGAGGAGAAGAATTGATGCGTTTGAATTATGATGTTGGCGAAGAATGTTGAAATTACCATGGACTGCCAAAAGAATAAACAAATGTATTTTGGAGGAAGTACAGGCAGAATGTTCCTTAAGAGCGAGGATGGCTAGACTTTGTCTCATGTAATTTGGACACTTTATCAGGAGGGACCAGTCTCTGGAAAAGGACATCATGCTTGGTGTAAAGTACAGGGTCAGCATAATGGAGGAGGATCCCCCAACAAGATGGACTGACACAGTGAATTCAACAATGGACTCAAACATGGCAGTGATTGTCAGATTGGCGCAGTACTGGTAGTGTTTCATTGTGTTTTACATACAGTTGCTATGAATCGGCACTGACTTGATGGCTCCTGAATACTGCAGTAAACTCAGAGAAGGTCATTGTTTCACTGGGAAGGTATTGCTGTGTACTGGACACTGTTGGCACTTAACATTAGTATACGAAGAAACTCAGATAATATAGCATAATTTGCTACATGCTATTGTTTTTAGTGCCATCTAGTGGGTTCTGACTCAGCAGCCCTGCATAGCATTTTTGAGGAGTGGCTGTTATGAACTCTAGTTGCACTTCCAGCTTGAAGTTCAAATCAGCCTTGCAGCCCAGTACCAGGACTCCAATTTGCTGCATAGTACATAGATTTTTTTTTTTTTTTTTTTTTTTTGCTGTAAAAGGAAATTTTATTGTTTTCATTTGATCCTTGGCTCGGGAGAAGAGGGCCTCCAAAGTTGTGGCGATGTTGCCTCTGAGACTGAAGAGTGAGGTTTAGGCAGAGAATCTAAGGATGGCAGATGAATACCAAAGGCTATTTATAGGTTGCTGGACTCCACAGGCTCCCAGTCGTGCTTGAGGGTGAGGCTTTCAAAGAGATATTCCTCCAGCCCCACCTGGGGTCTGGCCACCCTGCTGAAGTTGGTGAGGTGGTCTCCCATCTTCTTGATAATTTTCACCTCTTCGTTGAGGAAATGGTTCTTCAGAAAGTCACAGAGTGGAGGTCTGAGTGGGTAGCACCCAAGGTTTGCAGCTCCAGAAGGGAGTGGTTCAGTTTCTTCTCCAGGGCGAGAGCGGCTTCCATGACTTCCAGGGTTCTTCCCTACTCATCTTCGGACGGCTTCTGTGAGTGAAAGAAGGTTCAAAGCTAGCAATTCTTCCATCTGGCCAAGAAACAAAAATTCCATTTCCCAGAAGCCTCTGGGGACAATTATGAGACTTAGTTGCAAGGCTGTTTGGGTGGTTAACTATCACAGCTGGTTCCCCACACATCTTTGGGTGGCAACCAGCAGCTTAGCCGGCCACTTCTAGCCAAAAAGTCAACCACACATAAAAAAAAGGAAACTCAGATCTCCCAGGAAGCCTGCCCGGTGCCTCTACATAGAATTTTAAGGAGCCCTGGTAGCATGGTGGTGGTGTATGGTGGTATATGTCGTGGAGTAGGTTCCAACTCATAGTGACCCTGTACAGGGTTTCCGAGGCTGTAAATCTTTACAGGAGCAGAAAGCCTCATCTTTCTCCTGCGGAACAGCTGGTAGTTTTGAACTGCTGACCTTGTGGTTCGCAGCTCGATTCGTAACCACTAGAGCTCCTGGTAGCACAGTGGATTACAAACTGGGTTGCTGACCTCAAGGTCAGCAGTTCAAATCTACCAGTCACTCCACGGGAAGAAAGATGAGGATTTCTGCTCCCATAAAGATATACAGCCTTAAAAAACCTTATACAGGGTCACTGTGAGTTGGAACCAACTCCATGGCACAGAACCACCACCACCACATCAATTTTAAAGAGAATAAATCCTTTGTCCAAGGTCACATAAAAGGTTAATGGCAGAGCCAGGAGTAGAACATCATTCTATGTAGCCATTTTCTGCTACACCAGACTTTCTTTGCCTTTAATTGTTATCATTTTGAGTTTGTTTAATTCCATGCTTTCCATTTTCTATGCATTGGGTAAGAATGAGCTATCGTATTAGATTAAATTAATTGTTATGAACTCAATTTTTTTTTTTTTTTAGGCCAAGATGACCTTCAAAATATTTCAAATGAATGAAGAAAGACTTAAGACAGCTATAAAAGATGCTTTTAAAGAAAACGCTGAACTTCAGGAAAGCCAGAACCAGGTTTGTACTGGTTAAGAGCTCTTCCTTCAACTTGCAAATATGTAATTATAAATGTTCCAGGCATACTCAATGACTTATCCATGCTGGGGATAAGAATATATATATATTTTTTGTAGAAAACAGGAGAGCTGAACAATCTTCTATGTGTTTTTGGTATCTCTCTTGTATACTAAAGTGTGTACTTTTTCCGCAGGAAGAAAAGAGAATCATGGCAGGTAGCGTTAGCATTTTGGTAAATATCCTTGAGCACTAGGCCCTCAAAGCTATGCTGAAGGAAAGTAGGGGTAAAGGGACAGAGAATACCAATGAGAGTTGCAGAAGTGATGGCTCTGGGGTTTAAATATAGAAATAGTTTTAATAGCTAATCAGATGAAGATTTAGCTTTTACTCTTTTACCCCTACATACATGACATTCACACTTACCCTGTACCTTTCTTCCCCCTCTATTCTCCCAGTATAGTTATAATATTTCAATGCAAAAAAATTTTCAGGGATCAAAATATGATTATGTAAATATTACAACGGAGCTACGTGGTACACTTTGGTTATATATTCTGTCTTGCTCAACATTTTTTTTCTCTAGAATTAATCATCTTGTTTACTATGTACTGATCTCTAATTTATCTGTAAACATTTTATCAGACATGTAAATATCTTATTCACTTTCTTTGTTTAATCTGTTATTATTTTATTTCCCCCCCCCCAAAAAAAAAAAAAAAAAATTCCCTCCTGGGCTCTATTTATCTTCCTGGTCCAATAATGATTTATTTTCTAGCTTTGCTGTACTTCTTCATTTTATCCCCATGCTGAGGATTCTCTTTTTCTTTCTATGTTAGATCTTTTATTTCTTGTATCTAAAACTTGCTCTTTTATACTTCTTTTGGTTAGCTTTCTGAGAATGCTTTAGAACTTGGGTGCTAAAAATGTCTTGTTCTTGTCTTATATTTACTGATATTTTGATGCAGTATTTTAATTGGGTTGAACATTTTTTTTCCTCAGGGATTTTAATGTTGTTATGACTCCATTGTTGGTTTGTTATCTTTCACTTTCCAGTGCTATTTTTGAAAAGTCAAAAGCTGTTCCAATTCCTGAACCTTTTTGCTATCCTTTCTTTTGCTCCCTGGAAGCTTTTCATATCTTTTGTTTTCAGCTCTCAAAATTTTGTCAAGATGTGCCTTCATGTAAATCTTTTTTTATTATTTGTATCAGAGAATGTTATTCTGGAAACTCCCTGATTCATCTTGGTTAAATTTACTTGGGTTGTATATATTTTTTTGGTGAATAATTTACATGCTATATGATTATTATTTTAAAACATATTTTCTTTTCTGTCATCTCTGGAACTTATGGCCATTTATTTGCTGATATTTTTGGTTTCTGAGAGTCGTTTGTGTGTGTGTGTGTGTGTGTGCGCATAGGGTGCTTTATTCTCCACAGAGCGACACATGCTTAGACGGGTTGGGCTTGGGCCAATGTCCCCATATGTACAGAACTGAATAAAGTAGGCCTGAGAAGAAGTCTGATTTGCCTTGATGTGGAAACGGAGATGAGGAAAGATGGACATTAAAACCAGGGATGTGTTCAGTCCTGTGCTGGTTCTGGCCTAGAATGCAGGGTGAGAAGGCAACTCTCAGCATGTCATTTCCAGGCTGGGGATGTCTGCCGGGCTTGGAGGGCCTTCTGTATCATATCTTCCCACTGAGCATCTGAGATCTCCTGAGCCCAGGCAGGAACCCCTGATGCAGGCATGCTTATTCCAGCCATTGGCCTTTTCACTAGCTCTGCATGTCCTGGGTCCATGGGAATTGAGCTGTGGTTGCTCAATTCATTTAATGGAGGGTTTGGCAAATGCAGTCCCAGGGCCTGGATCCTCTCCTGGATGTCGACAACTACATCTTCCCCCACAGATGCCACAGATGCCAACTCTACTTCCTCTTGTTCAGGATCTTGATTTAGGGGTTGGTAAGAGTAGACAAAAGAGCTCGGGTAGCGTAGTGGTTATGAATCGGGCTGCGAAACACAAGGTCAGGAGTTCGAAACTACAAGCTGTTCCACGGGAGAAACATGAGATGTTCTGCTCCCATAAAGATTTATAGCCTCGGAAACCCTGTACAGGGTCTCTATGACTCAGAATTGACTTCATGGCACATAGTCACCACCAAGAGTAGCCAGCTGGGCCTGCCCCAGCTTCCTCCTGCTCTTCCTCATGTTCCTCACTGCTCCAATCTCCCTTGTCTTTTGTGGGGCCCAAGTGAGGCCCCAGTTCCTCAGTCTGATTAGGGTAGATACGCTCTGGACCCATGGTGTCTCCCTCTAGAACTACTGCTGCCATCCAGGGCAGGGGCTGCTTGGAGCCCGTGGCAGAACCCGCACCTTCACCCTTCCATCTTTTGATGCTTTCCTGCATCATTCAGTAATTTACCCAGAGAAACTTTCAATAATGAAAGTTGAGGCTTGTATTTTTTCTCTAGTTCCTTCAGCTTGAGAAATGCTGAGTGTGCACTTCCCTTTTGGTTTTCTAACTCCAGATCTTTGCTCATTTTGTCATAATATTTGACTTTGTCTTCTTGAGCTGATCTTTGAAATTTTCTGTTCAGCTCTTGTACCTCCTCATTTCTTCCATTAGCTTTAGCATTTCTGCTCTGGAGAGCAAGTTTCAGTGTCTCTCCTGACATCCATTTTGACCTTTTCCTTCTTTTTTGTCTTTTTAATGACTCTTTGCTTTCTTCATGTGTGATGTTCTTGACGCCATCCCACAACTCTTCTGGTCTCTGGTCTTTAGTGTTTAATGTATCAAATCTGTTCTTCAGATGATCTCTAAATTCAGGTGGGATATATTCAGGGTCATATTTTGGCTCTTCATGGACTTGTTTTCATTTTCTTCAGCTTCAGTTTGAATTTGCATATGAGCAATTGATGGTCTGTTCCATTGTCTGCCCCTGGCCTTGTTTTGGCTGATGATATGGAGCTTTTCCGTTGTCTCTTTCCACAGATGTCATCAGTTTGATTTCTATGTATTTCATTTGGTGAGGTCCATGACATGAATGGAAGAAATGAGTAAGTCAAAGAACTGAACAGAAAATTTCAAAGAGCAGCTTGAGAAGACAAAATCAAATATTACAATGAAATGTGTAAAGACATGGAGGTAGAAAACCAAAAGGGAAGAGCACATTCAGCATTTCTCAAGTTGAACTGAAGAAAAAAAATCAAGCCTTGACTTGCAGTATAAAAGGATTCTATGGGCAAAATATTGATTGATGTAAAAAACATCAAATGAAGATGGAAGGTACACACAGAGTCACTGTACCAAAAAAAAAAAAAAGGATGATGTCCAACCATTTCAAGATGTAGTAAAGGATCAAGAACTGATGGTACTGAAGGAAGAAGTCTAGCTACACTGAAGGCATTGGAGAAAAACAAGGTTCCAGGACTTGTTGTGGTGTGGTGCTATGGGTTAATGTGCTGGACTGCAAAGTTGGTTTGAACTACAATGGTGGTGGTTCAAGCTCACTAGCTGATTCTCAGAAACCCTGTACACATGGTAACTGTGGGTTGGAACTGACTCGACTGCACTTGACAACTAACAACCAAGGACTTGTCGGAGTACAGATAGAAATCTTTCAACAAACTAATGCAGCGCTCATTCATTTATGCCAAAGAATTTGGGTGACAGCTACCTGGTCAATTGATTATTCCCATTCCAAAGAGGTGACCCAAATAGAATGTAAAAATTATTGGACAATATCACCGATAGTAGATGCAGGTAAAATTTTGCTAAAGATAATTTGAAAAATGGCTTCAACAGTATATCAGCAGAGAGCTACCAGAAATTCAAGGCAGATTCAGAAGAGGATGCAGAACTAGGTATATCATTACTGATGTAAGATGCATGTTGACTGAAAGCAAAGAATACCAGAAAGATGTTTGGTTTTGTTGTCAAGTGCTGTTGCATTTGTTTCGACTCAGAGACTCTGTCTAGGGTTTCTGAGAAGTGGCTGGTGAGTTTGAACCACTGACCTGATGATTAGTAGCCCAATGCTTATCCTACAGTGCTTCATTGACTACACAAAGGCATTTTGTGTGGATAACAGTGCAGAAGAATGGGTATTTAAAAACATTTCATTGTGTTCATGAGGAACATGTACACAGGCCAAGAGGCAGTCATTTGAGCAAAACAAAGGAAAACTGAATGGTTTAAAAGCAAGAAAGGGTTGTGTTCTTTCACCATACTTTTTCTATCTGTATGTTGAGCAAATAATCTGAGAAATTGGATCACTAAGAAGAATGTGGCGTTAGGATTGGAGGAACACTCATTAACAGCCTGTGTAAGCAGATGACATAACCTTGCTTGCTGGAAGTGAAGAAGACTTGACACACTTACTGATAAAGATCAAAGACTACAGCCTTCAGTATGGATTGCACCTCACTCTAAAGAAAACAAACATCCTCACCCCTGGATCAATAAACTACATGATACATGGAAAAAAGATTGATGTTTTTAAAGACTTCAGTTTGCTTGCATCTACAGTTAATGGTCATTGAAACAGCAGTCAAGAAATCAAATGGTATATTGCAAATATACTGCAAAAGACCTCTTTCAAGTGTTCAAGAGCAAAGATGTCAGTTTGAGGATTAAATTGTGCTTAACCTAAGCTATGGTATTTCAGTAGCTTCATATGCATGTGAAAGTTGACAATAAGTAAGGAAGACCATAGGAAGAATCAATGCATTTGAATTATGGTGTTGGAGAAGACTCTTGAAAATACCATGGATTGCTAGAGGATTAAATATATCTGTGTTGGAAGAAGTGCAGCCATCTCTAATATTTTGAACATATTGTCAGGAAGGATCAGTCCCTGGAGAAGGACGTCATGCTTGGTGAAGTGGAGTTGGGAGAACGAAAAGAGGAGTACTCCCAATAAGATGGATTGATGCAGTGGCAGCAGTAATGGGCTGAAGTATAACAACAGTTGTGAGGATGGCACAGGACTAGACAGTATTTTGAGGTGTCCTGGTGGTGCTGGGGGTTAGGCTGTGGGCTGCTAACTGCAAGGTTCATGGTTCAAATCTATTAGTTACTCAGATGAACAAGATGTGGCTGTCTGCTCCCATACAGTTTTACAGTCTCATAAACTATGCAAGGTTGCAATGAGTCAGAATTTACTTGTTGGCAGCAGATTTGTTTTTGTTGTTGTTGTTTCATATTTGTTATTTCATATAATGAGATTATACAGTATTTTTTCTTTTGTAACTGAAATATTTCCCTCAGTATAATATTTTCTAGATTCATCCATTCTGTGTCATATAAGTTTGTGCCATTTTTTTTTTAGACATCCTAATGCTTTTTTAAAGTCAAGTATGTTTTTTATAACTGTCTATACCTTTTATGTCATGTGCACATTATGTTTTTTCTCCTGGAAAAGTATATACAGGAGAAGAACAGTTATGCAGAATGTGATCTGTTCTAGATCAGTGATATTTCTGAGAATTATTTTAACTAAAAAAAAAAAAAAAACATTGTAATTAACAAAAGCATTTTTACAGAAATAAAGTATGATATGTCATATAGGATAAAAGAAGCGGTAAAAAGTCTAATATGCATCTCAGTAAACCTTTTATTTGATACACATTTATCATTAAAAATCAGTTGAAAAATACATGTCAGGTATTTTACATTGTCTGGTTTGCAAGTTCTTTAAAGACACAAATCTTAAAAAAAAAAAAAAAAAATCAACAGCATAGTATGTTGCATAATATCTCTTCATGATACAAATAACTCTCTCCATACGACTGCAGTCCACGAGTTCCACGCTTCAAGCTCACTGGCTACTCCATGGGAGAAAAGTAAGGCTTTTTCTGCTCCCGTGAAGATTTAAAGCCTCAGAAACCCTATACACGGTCGCTATGAGTTGGAACCAACTCGACAACACTTTAACAACAACAACTAAAGTTCATTGACACATACGTATATGATATAATGAATTACTTTTTTCTATTTTTTTAATTTTAGCTTTCACAAGATGCTGAAGAATGGAAAGAACAATTGAGTGAACTTAATAAACAGAAAGTAGCTTTCGAAGACTCCAAACTACATGCAGAACAAGTCCTGAATGATAAAGACAGCCAAATAAAGGTAACTGGCTCTGCAGGTTTTAGTGACTGAGAATTTTATACTAATTCTGAAATTTGAAAACTTTTGCTTTTAGCAGCTTGGATTTCCATAATTGACTTAACTAATTTGGAGGGTGCATGCTTTTTTTGGTATGCAGTCTTATTAGTGCAAGTATTGTCCTATTGCCTGCTATATGGTTCTTAAAGACGTGTAGACTTGTAATATATAGTAACAGTCTATGTCCTTTTTTCCTCTCCTCTGTGTTTTAGTTTAGGTCTTTAATAAAGAAATTTAAAAAAATGAATTTTACATTTTCCCCTTAGGCTGCCATCTGTTTCCATTGGTAAAATGAGATTGGATAGTATTTGAGAAAATGGACAGAGTTAAGAGAAAATTAGATGAAATTGTTTGTGTTAATTACATATATTTAATTGTATATACTAGATTAGTTGGTATGTGTACTCACAGAGGTGACTAAAAACATTTTAATTCAAACTTAATCATAATCATAGAAATAAAATGAAAATGACTATTACTACTCTTAAGACTTTTGAATTTCCCTGTTTCCTGTCTCCCTCCCCTACCTCTTTTCCTATCTGCTCTTTAAAATCCTTATCCTTGCAGCTGCAAACAGGTACTCATATATAAGTATGAAGTAATAAAACATAAAGTTAACATTTTGCTACTTATATTGTTATACTTCAAAGTGTTTTAAAGATTCCAGCTGTAGGAGTATTCAGAACTTTTCATATATTCTTTTGTCTTCCTGAATGTCATCTTCTAAGGATTCTGGAGTCTTCCTAAATAACTAAGAATGAAATGTTTACCTTGAAATCTCCTCAGAACAGTAAACCATGTTATTTGTGCCTAGAACTTTCAAAAAGGAGGAGCTCTAAGTATGTAAATTATACATTATTTTCTGGGCCCTCCTGCAGAAAGTTATTCAACAAAATTTAAATGCAGAAAGTTATTCAACAAAATTTAAAAAGTACTGTTCAAAAACCTCTAAAGTTCAGATTCAAATCCAATTATTCAAGTAATTGTTTACTTGAATAAATCAAATCTGTGATATCTGTGATCTTTTTCATGTATCTTGCGTCTCACTTGCAGATTTGTTTGATTTTATATAAAATTGATCCTCTTGTTAATTGCCACTCTTATTTAGGTCACTATGAGTTGAAATAAACTTGACAGCAATGAGTTATAAAAGAAAATGTTTTATTTATAAAATGCAAACTCATTTCTGTTGAGTTTATTTCAACTCATAGTGACCTAAAAGGACACAGTAGAATTCCTCCCTAGGGTTACTGAGGCTTTAAATCTTTATGGAAGCAGACTGCTTCCTCTTTTTCTTGGGAAGTGGTTGGTGGGTTCAAATCACAGACCTTTGGTTATACTTAATTTACTGTGGCACCAGTGCAAAGTAAAAATGGAATAGTGTGGTTACAGAACTTCCAAATGGATAGGGAATTAAGTAGAGTTCAAGATAAAACAGATTGTTATAAACTTAAGAAGAAGTTAATAGATGTGTTACTTGGGGGAAGTAGAAGGCAATATACAATAAGAGAGGTTGGCATAAAATGATGGAGGCAAGGGAAAGCACTGGAGGAGTTCAAGAATTAAGGCAACAGAGGTAAATATTGTTATATACGTAATTGCGCAATAACAGTGATCTAGAATTAGACACACGAATGGACACATAAGCTGAACGGAGGAATAGTGGGATGGAGCTCTGGTAGCGTAGTGGTTATGAATCAGATTGCAAACCACAAGGTCAGCAGTTTGAAACTACCAGCTGTTCTGCAGGAGAAAGATGAGGCGTTCTGCTCCCGTAAAGATTTACAGCCTCGGAAACCCTGCACAGGGTCGCTATGAGTTGGAACTGACTCCAGGGCACATAACAACAACAACAATACTCACAGGTTTGAATGAGGCTATTTGTACATGGGTTTTTACCTTTGCTCTAAATATATTCATGAACGTGGTGGAGCATTCGTGAATATATTATGTCATGAAATTACATGGAAATATATTAAGTTATACAGAAATATAATACTATAGATTAAATTATATTGAAAATATTTATGAAATATGTTAAGTTATAAAAACATCTTAGACATAACCAAACACCTTGAGGGAATGAGTCACTGGGCCTGGGAACTCAGGACCCTGGTCTTGGGGGACACGAAGCTCAATTGACTCAACATAGTCCACAGAGACAATATTCTACATATTCCTCTGGTGGTAAGTACTGACTGGGGTTTTAAACAATAGTGACTAGCCATCTAAGGTACAATTATTATTGTTCTCTCCCTGTCCAGATGATTTTAAATTAGGAAAGGTATGTATTTTTAAAAGGTATGTAGGGTTGTATTATTTCACCATTAACAACCTCCGATAAGCAGATGGTACAACCTTGCTTGCTGAAAGTGAAGAGGACTTCAAATACTGATGAAGATCAAAAAGAGCACACAGCCTTTGGTATAGGTTGCACCTCAATGTAAAGAAAAAATAAAATAAAATAAATCCACGACTGGACCAATGGACAACATCCATATAAATGGAGAAAAGATTGTAGTTGTCATTTTGCTTGGATCAACCATCAACATTCATGAAACCATCATTTAAGTAGTCAAATGATGTATTGCAATAGGCAAATCTGCTGTACAAGACCCTCTATAAAGTGTTGAATAACAAAGATGTTAGTTTGAGGACTAAGGTGCACCTGATCCAAGCCATGGTGTTTTCACTAACCTCATGTGCTTGTGAAAGTAAATAAGGAAGACCATAGGAAGAACTGATGCATTTGAGTTTTGGTATTGGAGGAGAATATTGAAAGTGCCATAGACAAACAGATGTTTGTCTGTGTGTTGGAAGAAGTGCAGCCAGAATGCTCCATGGAGGCCAGGATGGCCGAACTTTGTCTTTCATACTTTGGACATATTATCAGGAAGGATCAATCCTTGTCGAAGGATATCATGTTTGGTAAAGTAGAAGGTCAGAGAAAAAGAGTAATACCCCCAATGAGATGGATTGGCACAGTGGCATCAGCTCAAGTGTAGTAATGATTGTGACGTTGGTATAGGACCAGACAGTGTTTCATTTTGTTCTGCATAGGGTTACTATGAGTCAGTACCTACTTGATGGTACCTAACAACAACAACAACCCTGTCCAGAAGAAAGCAGAGTGATAAAAATAAAGACAAATGGCAACGCTTAGTCCAGTGGACAAATGGACCATGCAAACACAGTCTCGATGACACTGAGATCAGAAGAACTGCATGGTGTCTTGCAACTACTACCAACTGCACTGAATGAATCACATTCAGAGAGAGAGGAAGAAAATGGTGGAACAAAACTAAAAATCATAGAAGAAACCAGGCTTACTGATCAGATAGTAATCACCTTTCAGATCTGGAATTGAACTCTTCCCTCATGTCTCAATTTTTAGTCAAACTATAGGAAACAGTAAAGGAGCTCTGGTAGCGTAGTGGTTACGAATCGGGCTGCGAACCTTAAGGTCAGCGGTTCGAAACTACCAGCTGCACCGCGGGAGAAAGATGAGGCTTTCTACTCCTGTAAAGATTTACATCCTCAGAAACCCTGTACAGGGTCGCTATGGGTCGGAACCGACTCGATGGCACATAACAACAACAACATAGGAAACAGTAAGGGAAACACTCCTTAGAATAATCAATAATTTGAGCTCCAAAGGGCAATTCTTAACCAAGAGCAAAGTTCAGAAGGGTTAGAAAAGGAGGAGGACTGGAAACAGGAAACACAGGAAGGATGTGGGAGAAGTGATGTTCAGGAGATTATAATCAATGAGTTGAACCAAAATGTATGAATTGTTAAATGTAAAACTGTTTATCCCCTCTATAAACCTTCATCCTATTCACAATAAAAAATTAGAAATAAATATTGGCCAAAAACCTAACATGCTATTAATCAGTTTGCTTTTGATACGAGTTAAAGACTGGTAACTGAGGAGTGATTCACTCATAACTGGTCATTGACCGGCAGTTGTAACTCAAACTCAGGAAAATGTTTATGCTACATTTGAAAAGTGGATAAGGAAACAGTTTAACAGCTCAGTTTTCTTTTTTTCTTAACTTAATTTTCATGAATTAGGAAGTCTACTTTACACTTTCCTTTAAAGATAAATAATAGTTACAATGAACTGTCAGTTATACATTTTTATACATTATAAGATAACAGCATAGTATACATGATAACATAATACTGTAAAATAAAGTAGTTAATTTAATAAGATGCACAGTAGTTTGAAAACAAAATTTTGACAATGGCACTGGCAGTTAAATGCAAAGAATACTTAAAGAAAAAAGTGGCAGGTGTAGCATTAAAATGCCTTTCAATAAATATTTTGGGTACATCATTCACATATTGAAGTAAACAGCTAAGAGTATACATAATTAAAACTAACAGAAATACCATAAAAATATGTATAACAGAAAGCTTCAACATTTTATAATTACATGCTGTGGTGTCTACCAAAAGTTGTTGTTGCAGAATTCAAGACAGTAGTTTTTACTGGTTTTTGTGAAGTATTCACATCTCCTGCTTAAATTACTGGAAAAGTAGTTTTGGTTTTAAGGACTAGAGTTATGCATGTTATAATTTGTAAAAAAACTATGTATACATGTTAAATGAGGGAAAGAGCTAATTTACTTATTTATGAGGATTGAATTTTAAGTTTTAACTATGCATTCAGAAATTGGAAAGTTAGTTTAAGGCATTACCCTTTCTCTTGATTTTTTTCCGCCTTTGCTGAATGTCAAGTCTCTGACTGAGCACTTGCTCAAAATGAAACATTTGGTTGCTGTGCTTGGAGAAGACTTAATGAATGATGACGTTTCGGAATCGGAAATGAAGAGTGAATCAGAAAATGGTTCCCATATAGGTATTAAGTCATGACTCATTGTCCTTTGCTAAAAATGTTGACAAGCGTTTCCATTTCTTTTGAGTCCCTCATTTGTAACATGTTATTTATACATGTGTGCTTTGTTCTATATGTACTATCCCTCAGTCTGTGACACTGTCTCTGCTTTCACCGCTCCTTATAATTTAGCTTCAGCTGGGGCACCTTTTCAGTGACTCTCTCTCCAGTTCCTCAGACAGACTTAGAACCTGCTTCTCCTCTGCTCTTATACATTTACTTATCTTTGTTAAAGTAATTTTCACATTGTATCATAATTATTTCAGTGCCTATTTACCTCTGTACTGTAAGGTAATCAAATGGCTGAATGAATAGTTTGAAAAATGAATATTATGTAAGTGATCCCTTTTTTTTTTGCTATAGTCAGATGGCTCAAATGATTTTAGTTCTTTAATCTTGGCTATCACAATTTGTTATTGCCATTCCTTGTAATTTGGAGTTGGTAAAACGTAGTTTCACTCTAGTACTTACTGTATTCTATGATTAACTCTTCTAATTTTTAAAATTTTAATTTTGAAATAATTATAGATTCACAGAAAGATGCAAAGTAGTACAGAGAGGTCCCATGTATCCTTTACTCAGTTGTCCCCAGTGGTAGTTCCTCTAAACTTCATGTCCTTACTCTGTATCTGCTCCAACTTCCTGTGTAATTAACAAATTTAAGGAGCAGAAGATGTGTTGTTTTTTTCTTTCATGATGACATTAATACATTGGAAGAAAATTACTTCTTAAACTAAATGTGAGCACATTTGGGTCTATCACTTTTTCACTTCTGCTTTATCTTGTAAGAAATAATTCTTTCAGTAACAGAGGAAAGCCATACTTGTTGTTTTAATTTGGGTTATAATTCCATTCATTTTGGGTGCTGTAGGAATCTAAAACTAGTTAAGACTTTTTACTGTATTTTGATGAATGCCAAATCCTTGTTATAGCTCTGTTCTTGAAGCTGGTGCTGAGGAATCTTGTTAAGTGGTATTAGGGTACTACTTGTGCTTTTATTGGAGTCCTGGTGTGGTGCTGTAGGACAAGTACTGAACTGCTAACGTAAAGGTCAGTAGTTCAAACCCACCAGCCATTCCTTGGAAACCCTATTACAGGGTCTTTGTGACTCAGAACCCACTCAACAGCCCAACAAGTACTTTTATTGTTTAGTTTCCTGGGAGCAGGTCCAAAGCTATTCTTACACTGAATTCTTCATTGTATCAGGAAGAAGGATTATAAAGTTCTAGTTGAGTTAACTAATAAAATCATTTAGATGCCTGCCATAGCATTTTACTGTTTTCCTAATTCATAGTTATGTTTTTACTTTTCACTTTAGATGATCAGCCAAGAGGAGCTCTGAAGAAACTGATCCATGCTGCTAAGGTTTGTACTACTGTATAAATATATAGAATACAAAGAAAGATTTGAAATATCGGTTGACCCCCATATGTCCTTAGTATTGGCCTTAAAATTCCATTTTAGTTTTCATATTATGTATATTAAAAAGTGATTAGAGGTATCTTCAGCAATTGATCTTTTATTATTTATATTAATAAAAGTTAATTAGAAATTAATAGAAATCCTTATAGTTAATTTTTTAGCATGTAGCACAATAAAAAAGTTTCTAAATTTTGTATTCCTTTATTTCAATTAGTAATGAACTAAAAATGTCTACTTTTTTCCACCCCATGTTTCCCTTTTTGTGTGATTTTGTTTCTTTGGTCTCAGTATTTCCCTTTGTCCGTCCCATATCTTATTTTGGGAAGTAAGTTTTGTTTTATTTATTTCTTTCTGGTTTATCCCTTTACTTTTCCATCCTAGTGTCTGGTGTCCTGATCTTTCCTTTTCTCTGTGAAGTCTTGGTAAATGTAATTTGAGAGCTGCTTGAATAGAAACCTATATGTTGACAAATAGAATGAAAATACTCTTTAAGCATTTTTCACTGTTATTCTCCGTCCCTGTTCTGAGGTTTGCAACTGTTGGTGACTTTGGTAACTTTCCAAGATAGGAGCTGCTTTGTTGGTCTCTGGGCTTTAATAATTTAATCAAAGTTATAAAAATAATAATAATTCAAAACGTTGGAAGGTACTATATTAAAGACATATATATATATATATTCCTGGTGTGATGCTTTGGGTCAATGTGCTGGACTGCAAGGTTGGTTTGAACTGCAAGGATGGCAGTTCAAGCTCACCAGTCGCTCCTCAGAAACTCTACAGGATGGCTATAAGTCACAACCAACTCAACGACACATAAATACAACTGATTAATGGTGCTTTTTTCCCCTCTATCTTTAAAGATGAATGCTTCTTTGAAAACCCTAGAAGGAGAAAGAAAACAAATATACATTCAATTATCTGAAATAGATAAAACAAAGGAAGAACTTTCAGGTAGGTCATTTATGTACTTTTGGTTTTTCTAAATAAATATGTCTCCTTATAGCGAATGGTACCATTAATTGTATGGATTTGGGGAGATTTAATTTGATTTGTTATTAGCTTTTACTTTTGATGGCAATTTGTAAAAAAAAAAATTCCCTGATTTTTGTTGTTGATAAAATCTGTATTTATATGAAGTTAAAATAATGAAGTTATTTAAAAAACATATTTAAAAGGTTCTATTTAAAAAAAACCATACTTGCCTTTGAGTCAAATGTAAATATGTTTGATAATGGTTTTAGATATTTAGATGTAAAATCAGAAACTTATTTTATAAAATGGTTTTTTTTATCAATAGTATCTGTTACTTTAATAAAAATTTATTAATTATAAATTTGATCTTTTGTGGTGGTCGTTCTTGTGTGTCATTGAGTTGGTTCTGACTCGTAGGGACTTAGTATATGCACTGGAATGTGAACTGCAGTATCATTGGTTCAAACCCATCAGCCGTTCCTTGGAAATCCTATACAGATCACTATAGGTCGAAACAGACTTGACAACATTTAACAATAACAAGGAAGATCAGCTAATACTGCTATTATTCAGATTTAGGAACAAACCACTAAAGCCTGTGATGATGAAATTGAATAATTCTGCCAAATTCTTCAGTTTGAAATTCTTCAAACGTGCAATCAAGATGCACTGATAATTAATTGGTGATTGGAATGCAAAAACGGGAAACAAACAGGAAGGATCCATAGTTGGAAAATACAGCGTTGGTAATAGAAATGATGCTGGATATCATATGATAGAATTTTGCAAATGCCTTTTTTCACCACATTAACAGTGACTATATACCTGGTCCTCACAGGAAGCAAATTGACTACATATGTGGAAAGAGGTGATGGAGAAGCTTATTATCATCAGTCAAAATGAGGCTAGGGGCAGACTGTGGAAGAGACTTATCAATTGCTCATATTCAAGTCCAGGTTGAAGCTGAAGAAAATAAAAACAAGTCCACAAGAGCCAAAATATGACTTTGAACATACTGCAACTAAATTTAGAAGCCATCTCAAGAACAGATTTGATGCATTAGACACTAATGACAGAAGATTAGAAGAGTTTTGTGTGATGACATCAAGAACATCATTCTTGAAAAAAGCTAAAAGATCATTTAAAAGACAGACAAGAAATAAAGACCAAAATGGATGTCAGAAGAGACTTTAAAACTTACTATTCAGTGTAGAAAAGCTAAACCAACGGAAAGAAATGATGAAGTAAAAGAGCTGAACAGAAAATGTCAAAGGACAGCTTAAGAAGACAGTGTCAAAGACCTTGAGTTAGAAAACCTGAGGGAAGAACACACTCAGCCTTTCTCAAGTTGAAAGAATTGAAGAAGAAATTCAAGCCTCAACTTGTAATATCGAAGTCTGTGGGCAAAATACTGAATGATACAGGAAACATCAAAAGAAGTTGAAAAGAATACACAGAATCACTGTACCAAAAGAAATGGTTGATGTTTAGCCATTTCAAGAGGTAGCATATGATCAGGAACCAACAGTACTGAAGGAATAAATCCAAGCTCTCTGGTAGCATAGTGATTACGAATCAGGCTGCTAACCTCAAGGTCAGCAATTTGAAAGTACCAGCTGTTGTGCGGGAGAAAGATGAGGCTTTCTGCTCCCATAAAGATTTGCAGCCTCTGAAACCCTGTGCAGGGTCGCTATGAGTCGGAATCGACTTCACGGAACTTAACAACAACAACAACATACTGAAAGCATTGGTGAAAAACAAGACTCCAGTAATCAATGGAATACAAATTGAAATCTTTGAACAAACTGGTGAAGCACCGGTGGTGCTCACTCATCTATGCCAGGATATTTGGAGGCGAGCTATCTGGCCAACTGATTGGAAACAATCTGTATTTGTGCCCATACCAAAGAATGTAGAAATCATCAAACAGCATCATTAATATTACATGCAAGTAAAATCTTGCTGAACATGATTTAAAAAATGGTTCCAACAGTATATTGATAGAAAACTGCCAGAAATCCAAGCTGGATTCGGAAGAGGGCATGAAATCAAGGATGCCATTGCTGACGTCAGATGGAACTTGGCTGAAAGCAGAGAATACCAGGAAGATGTTTACTTGCGCTTTATTTATTATGAAAAGGCTTTTGATTGTGTAGATCATGACAAGTTATAGATAACATTGTGAAGATTGGGTATTCCAGAGCACTTAATTGTGCTCTTAAGGAACCTGTACCTAGACCAAGAGGCACGTGTTACAAAAAGGGAATAGTGAAAGGTTTAAAATCAGGAAAAGTGTGTGCCAGGCTTGTAGCCTGTCACCATAGTTATTCAATCTGTTTGCTGAGCAAAAGAAGCTGGATTATATGAAGAACATGGCATCTGGATTGGAGGAATACATTAATAATTTGTAATATGCAGACACAACCTTGCTTGTGGAAAGCAAATAGGATTTTATACTGATGAAGATCAAAAACCTACAACTTTCAGTATGGATTGCATGTCAAAGTAAACAAAAAAATCATCGCTACTGGACCAATACACAGTATCATGATGAAAGGAGCAAAGATTGAAGTTGTCAAAGACTTCATTTTGCTTAGATCTAGAATTAATACTCAATAATCAAGAAATCAAGTGATGTGTTACATTAGGAAAATCTGCAAAAGACCTCTTTAAATTGTTAAAGAGTAAATACATCACTTTGAGGACTAAGTTGCACTATGGCATTTTCATTAGCCTCATAGGCATGTAAAAGTTGGACTGTATGTGGAAGATCATAGAAGAATTGGTACATTTGAATTATGGTGTTGGAGAAGAACAAACAAATCTGTCTTAGAAGAAATACAGACAGAATGCTTCTTAGAAGTGAAGCATGGTAAGACTTTTTGTACTTGTTGTTAGGTGGAACCAGTCCCTGGAGAAGGGCATCATGCTTGGTTAAATGGACAGTCAGCAAGATAGAGGAAGACCTCCAATAAGATGGATTGACAGAGTGGCAGAAAAAATGGACAAGTATAACAACAACTGATAGGATGGTGCAGGACCAGGCAGTGTTTCATTATGTTGTGCTTAGTGTCAGGATGAGTCAGCAGTGACTCGATGACACCTAACAATGTTTTGATTATCCTACTTATAAATCAGGAGTGCGGTGGCTCCCTGCTATAACCATTGGACTGTGAACCACAAGATGTGCGGTTCGAGTCCACCAGCTACTCTGTGGAAGAAAACAGTCTTTCTGCTCCTTCAAAGATTTAAAACCTCGGAAGCTGTTTACATGGCCACCAGGCATTGGAACCAACTCAACAGGACCTAACAACTTACAAATTAAAATTTTTGTTTTTAATGAATCATAAAAAATAAGTTATTTAAATTGATGTATCATAATTTGAAGTTTTTTTTTTTCTAAACTGTTTCTCCTTACCTACTGCCTTTTTGGTAGTCATTTCCAGTTTTGAAACGTAACATATTTGAAGCAGAATAGTTACAGTAGTATAAAAATATGAAGGTTTATGTGTTGGTTTATAGTTTGTTTTTTTAATTAGGTAAGATCCATATTAACAGATAGTTTGTTTAGTGACTGTTTTTGGCAATGACCTAGAACTTAGAGCCTACAGCCTGATATAGATTGAAAAATTTCTATTGAAAAACAGATTCAGTTGGCCATCCATATATTCACTGGTTCTATACCCATGGATTTAATCAACCAAGGATCAAAGATATTTGGGAGGTGTGGGGGAAGAGAGAGGAGAAGTCAAGTGATCAAAGCAATCTCCCAAGGGTTTTACTTAGCATTTCCAAGGGAAAGTCAAAAAGTATCGCTACTAGAGTTCCAGTTCATATATTCATGGGTTTATTCCAGAGAGCTCATGTTTGAACATGCCTCTGCAATCAGTGGATGGCTGCAGACAAACTCTCTCAGCAGTACACTGTCTTAGTCTCGTTAGGGTAACTTCAAAAGAAGTTCCAAGTTAAACCTTGGCTTCCAAAGGGATCTGCTGGGTCAGTGAAATTCAAGGCCTAGAGGTCAACTCAGATTATGGTGACTGTTTTCTGGAACCAAAAGGTGTCATATTTATAGATTTTCTCAAAGGTCACAGGACAACCATGGAAGCTTATTGGGAAAAAGTTTTATGTAAATCGAAACTGCCTTGGTGAATAAAAGACCAGGAAATTTGCACCAAAAATTTTATTTCTATTATGACAGTTCACTTGACCATTCTGAGGGTAGCAAGGGCTGCCCTAATAGAATTTTACTGAGAAATCTTGCCTCATCCATCCTACAGCTCTATTATAACCCCTTCATACGTATTTTTATTACTAAAACTTAAAAAGCATTTCAAAGGAACCTACTTTTGAGTCCTTCAAGGATGGAAAAATTACTGTCTTGATGTGGTATAAACTAGAGTGCAGATTTCTTCAGGAATGGGTTACCGAAAAGAAAACACCACCTTCAGAAGTGTGTGGACCTAAATGGAGGCTATGTCAAGAAACAATAACTTCACATTTTGATATTTTTTAATAAAAGTTTCTGTGATTTTATAGAAATAGTTTTTGATTTTCCATTATGTATTAGATACTATAAGTAATGCAGAAATGATTTAAAGTATACAGGACAATATGCACAGGTTATATGCAAATACTATGCCGTTTTATGTAAGGGACTTGAGTAGTGCAGAATTTGGTATACACTTGGTATCCTGGGACCAATTCCTCATCTATACTGAGGTATGACTGTATTCACAATTGCCTGCACATTTAGTCATATGCTGCCATGTTTACTTAAACTATCATTTTGCTGTATAGTTTAATTAATAAGTGTTTGGAATCATTATATATTACTACATATAACTACTAAAATTTTGATGGTTACTAGTATAATTTAGTAGTTTCCCTCTTGGATAAGGGTGAGTTTTGTCATATGTTATGATTTTTGGTGGTTAGTCATACTCATATTTTGGGTTATGCTGCTTGAATCTTAAGAGAGTTTAGACTTGAGGTTATTATGATGGAAGAGGGATGAGGTTTT